CATCCCCTCCTGCCTGGGCCTTTTAGTTGGAGATGCTGCCAGGGATTGAACCTGGGACCTTCTGCCTGCCAAGCAGAGGCTCTGCCACTGAGCCACGGCCCTCCCCTTGTGATACATGCACACATGAAGCTGGCTTACATGGAATCAGACCCCTGGCGACTCCACCAAGGTCAGTCTTGTCTACTCAGCCTGGCAGCTGCTCTCCAGGGTCTCAGGAGGAGGTCTTTCACATCACCTACTGTCAGATCCATTTTTAACTCGAGATGCCGGGGACTGAACCTGCCTGGGACCTGCCTGGGACCTTCCGCGTGCCAAGCAGAGCCTCTGCCACTGAGCCACGGCCCCTCTTTACAGCGCTCCAGGGTCTCAGGTGGAGGTTTTTCCCATCATGGACTCCCTGGTCCTTTAACTGGAGATGCTGAACCTGAGACCTTCTGCATAGAAAACAGAGGCTCTTCCACTGAGCCAGGTCCCCTTCCTCCTGCTCTTTTGCACCCAGGTTGGGGAACGTCCTGTCAGTGTGGTTTAGCCATCAGAGTGCCAGACATTGAGACCCAGGTTCAAATCCCCTCTCTGCCATGGAAGCCTGCTGGGCAACCTCAGGCCGGTCACATACTTTTAGCCCAACCTACCCCACAGGGTTGTTGCGAGGGTGAAACGGAAGAGAGGAGAAGGGCGTCAGCCGCTCTGGGGGCTCCCTGGGGATGAAAGGCGGGGCAGGAATCAGGTCACAAAAGGCTGCCCTGCAGGCCAGGCCTGGGGCCTGTTCGTTCGGGGCCTGCTGCGGCTGCCTCTCTGCCCGGAGGCCAAGGCCGTCCTCCTGGCGGCTCTTCTTGTTGTTGTTTGGAAACAGGCTGGCCGGTGACCAGCGATGATAACATGCGGGTGGGTTCTGCTCTCCAAACAGGGCCGAGCATTTCTCATGAGCCTTCTGGCTGGCTCAGCTGCAGCTCCAAGGCAGGACGGCCACAAAGGGCTCCCAGCTTTGTTTTTGCAGCCTCCACTTCGGGAAGACGCATCACCACTGTTCCCTCTAAGCTGAGTTAGTGTGAGCCAGCTCACAGTTTTTTAGCCTCCAGCTCATTTTTGTCCTAGCTCAGGAAGGATGGGGCTCCAGAGCCAACTAATGGATGCAGCACCCGAATCGCTCGCTCACAACTTTCATGCCAGTAGCACACAAGGTAGAATTTTTGCTCGCAGGACTCCACAACTTAGAGGGAGCCTTGCTCATCACCGACACTCCCTCAAAAGCTGTGGAGTCCGGTGAGCAAAAACCCGACTTGGTGAGCTCCTGGCATTAAAGTTGTGAGCGAGCCATTTGGCTGCTGCATCAATTAGTTTGCTCTGGAGCCCTCCTTCCTGAGCGAAGACAAAAAGGTGCGAGCCGGAGGCTAAAAAACTGTGAGCTAGCTCACACAACTTCAGCTTAGAGGGAACACAGCTCATCACCGCTCCTCCATCTTAGCTGGGTGCCTTTCCAAACCCCGGAGGAGGCCCGCTTGCCTCCCCAGAGCTTCAGAGGCAACCCCTGCCGCCTGCGGGACTCCTGCGGCATCCAGAAAGCCCTTTCTGTGCACTTGCAAAAAAAAATAATGAGACTCCTGAACTCAGTCATGCCTCCCTCACACAACGTGGCTGCCAAGGAGCACCGGAGGCCAGAAGTGTCAGGAGGAAAAGCAGGGGACAGTTTCCAGCCAAGACACGGGAGGCCCCTCGGAGAGGCCAAGGCAAGTGGGACAGTCTGAGGAACGCACCTCTAAGATGTGGAGTCTTGTGAGCAAAAATTCAACTTTGTGAGCTAGTGGCAAGAAAGTTGTGGGCGAGCGATTGGGCCACTGTTTTGGAGCCCTCCTCCCTGAGCTGAGGCAAAAATGGGTGAGCCAGAGGCTAAAAAACTGTGAGCTGGCTTCACACTAACTCAGCTTAGAGGGAACACTGGCCATGTGTCTTCCCATTAGCACATCATGCTGGGGAAAAGACCAGGACCACGTACTGCGTTGTGGGGAGGGGGAGCAGATCCGATGAGTGGGAAAGGGCACCAAGGACTGGCGGTCCAGTTCTCAGGTCACTTTACCACCGGGGAGGGGGAAGGCCAATTAATTTTAATGACGCTTCCAAGTGTTGCTCAAAGGGGCCGGTGTGTTGTCTCTTTTGCAAGCGATCTGGGCGTGAGCTTCCTTCTATCTGTGATTCATCTGGAGAGGAAATAAAAACCATCCCTTCTTAATTCTCGATCCAAGACGCCTGCCGAGAAGCCGGAGTCTGCTGAGGCCGAGGATTTCGGGCTCTCGCTGAACGCTGGAGTCGAGGGCCCCAGTGGGTGGGGGCAGGCCCTGCCCTTGACCCGGATCCACAATTCAGAGGGGTTTGGTTCGTTGGTTTTTACAGAAGGAAAATACAGCTGAAATAATACATATATAAAAAAGCAGCTCCCTCTCTCTTTCATTTTGCAAACGAAAACACGGCTACTGCGAGCGCTTTGCCTCCGTTCGGACATGCGCCGTCCAGAGCCCAATAACCACCAGGGACTACGGACGTTCAGCTTGGAAAGTTTTTAATGGAAAGCTGCATAGAAAATACTCCAGATTTATTTTTGGGGGGGCCACTAATTTCATAGCTATATACATGATTAAAATGGTAAGGACAAACTTCCCAGACTGAAAAGATAGTCAGTGGCATGCATTTGGCGACTTCTTTTGTTGTTGTTGAAAGGATGAAGCGCACCACCAATGGGTGCACGCCAAAGGTGTGGTGGGGGAGGAGGCGGAAGGGCAACTGTCATTGTTACCGGGATTTATATGATCGACACACACAGAGAGAGACGACACACATACGACACAGAGGAACACACAGGGTCAATGCTTCGTGCTAGCACCAGTTTCCTGCAAAAGTACACAACCAAAAGAGAGAGAGAGAGAGAGAAAGGTCTCCTTTCCAAATGAATATTGGAGAGAATAAGAAAACTAATTTCTTAACACATTCCTTTTCTTAAAAAAAACAACCCCTCTGCATTAACACTACAGTAGGAATACATGACATTCACGTGGCGGAAAGCTCAAGAATCATTTTGCTTGCAAAGGAACAGCCTGGTTGCATTTCGCGAAGAGATCCTGGGAGGGAAATGGAGACACCAGTAAGGGTGACCTGGGGCTGTTCTATGAGGGAAGGCGCGGAGGAAGAGTCGGGGCGCTGCTCTGTGCACAAGGAGAGCCCCGACAGGGCCGATCCGTGGGGTGCAACCCATGGGAAGACCTCCTGACACAGGCTGCTGTGTTCCATTGGCTGTGGGCAGGAGGGCTTCCTGATTGGTTGTGCCCGGTGTCAGTTAGCAGGCTGGGTGGAGGAACAGGTACCATTTGGCCTAAGGGGGGTCTCTAGGCAGGGCCCGAAATGGTCTTGGGCCAGCTGGGGTGGCAAGTCAATGCTGCCTTCTGCTGGCTGTGCGAACAGGGGTAGAGGGGAGAGCCGGGTTTGATTCCCCACTCCTCCACTTGCAACTGCAGTAGTGGTTAAGTGTGCGGACTCTGATCTGGGAGAACCGGGTTTGATCCCCCACTCCTCCTCCACTTGCGCCTGGCTGGATGACCTTGGGCGAGCCGTAGTTCTGATAAGAGCTGTTCTTGAAAAAGAGCCGTTTCTCTCAGAGCTCTCTCAGCCCCACCCACCTCACAGGGTGTCTGTTGTGGGGAGGGGAGGGGAAGGGAGTTTGTAAGCCCCTCTGAGACTCCTTTGGGTAGTGAAGGCCAAGGGGTAGAAATCCAGTCTCTTCTTCTTCTCTTCTTCTTCTTCATAATGCCTGCAACACTCTTTGTGCCATTCTGGCGGTGGGATTCTACAGTGTTTCTCTCCCAGCCAGGCCCCAGTTGTGGCGGAGGGGGGTCAGCTCTAGGCCGCTGGACACAGAGGGTGCTCGTAGGGCGCAGACTCCAAAGGCTGCTCACCTCTCGCTTTGGGAGAAGGAAGGTGGCCCAGGAATGGGTGCAGATCTAAAGGTCGGGAAATGCCTGACCTGGATAGGCCAGGCCAGCCCGATCACGTAAGATCTCGGGAGCTAAGCAGGGCCGACCCTGACAAGTCCTTGGATGGGAGACCTCCAAGGAATACCAGGGTCGTGACCAAGGCTCCCTCTCAGCTGTGGAGTCCTGTGAGCAAAAATCCTACTTTGTGAGCTGCTGGCATTAAAGTTGTGAGCGAGCGATTTGGCTCCTGCATCAATTAGTCTGCTCTGGGGCCATCCTTCCGGAGCTGAGACAAAAATGTGTGTGAGCCAGAGGCTAAAAACATCTGAGCTAGCTCACACTAACTCAGCTTAGAGGGAACACTGGTCAGGACCAAGGCTCCCTCTAAGCTGTGGAGTCCTGTGAGCAAAAATTCTACTTTGCGAGTTACCGGCCTTAAAGTTGTGAGCGAGCGGTTTGGCTGCTGCATCGATCGGTTTGCTCTGGAGCCCCATCCTTCCGGAGCTGAGACAATAATGTGTGAGCTGGAGGCTAAAGAACTGTGAGCTAGCTCACACCAACTCAGCCTAGAGGGAGCACTGGTCATCATGTGACGCAGGGGCAGGCTGTGGGAAACCACCTCTGACCATCCCTGGCCTCCAAGCCCCACTAGGGGTTGCCAGGAGTCAGACTGACTTGAGGGCCAAAAAAACAAAAAAAATTCAATAAAAGTTCTGGAAACGCGAACCGCAGAGAGAAGCCATGGCCGCACCACGGCCCAAGTACCGATTTTGCACATTTTGACGCAACGAAGAGGACTTAGTTTAGAAGGAAAGAGAGAAATGCTTTTATGCCTTGTGAGTCCCTGTTAGAACATGAATGGAAATCATCCCTCTCCCCCCCTCCCCGCTGCTGTAGGCTGAGGTTTCTCTTGGGAACAGCAGGGCCTGCGCCCCCACCCACCCCCACCACATAAGTCCTCCTGCGGAGTAAACGGCAGCCCTCCCGGTGGATCGGGTCCTTCCAGAGCCGCCTTCCTCCTCAGGCAAGGGTGGTGCGTGGATCAGGGCCGGGCAGCCGGCCAGGCTGGGGCAAGGAGGAAGACGTTTCCCACCGGCCTGGACTGCAGGGAACCCGCGGCAGACTTGAACTCTGAGCCCGGTTGCGATTCTAGGGTTTTCTTTAAAAAATTCTCTTTACAATTCCTGAGTGCACGTGGTGTCCCCGCGAAGGAGTCCCAAGGGTGGCGGGGCCGCAGCCACTTGGGTCTCCTCCTCCTCTTCGCCTCTCTTCTTACGAGTTCTTCTGGGGGATCTTTATCGTCACCGTCTTCACTTCGGAATACTCCCGCAGTCCGCACTCGCCCCTAGGGACCAAGCAGAGGACAGAAGTGGAATCAGGAACCCCGTCACTGGCAAGAGGGCAGAAGGCCCCCCTGAGGCAGGGTACGGCCACAGGCCGAGGAGGCTGCAGCTGTTGAGAGGTGGGAAGGGGGCGGGGGCAGTGCGTGGTTCCGGGAGGGAGAGCTCTGACCCACAGAGCACAAGGCATGCCTCTCGCACGCACCCCACGGAAAGTAACAGGGGACCTGCAAGGGGCCAGCCCTGCGCCTGTGCATCCGTGGGGCTGGCACAGACCTTCTTTGTGGGAAGGGGAGGGTTGGCTTCCCCCCTCCCCATGCCCTGCAGGGCCTTTCCTGGGGGACCTGACAGGCACAAGGCCAACACTCCCTCTCAGCTGTGGAGTCTTGTGAGCAAAAATTCTACTTTGTGAGCTCCTGGCATGCAAGTTGTGGGCGAGCCATTTGGCTGCTGCATCGATTAGTTTGCTCTGGAGCCCCCTCCTTCCTGAGCAGAGACAAAAACGTGTGAGCCAGAGGCTAAGAAACTGTGAGCTGCCTCACACTCACTCAGCTTAGAGGGAACACTGATGTCAGGGTGTGTGTGTGTGTGGAAGCTCCTGGGGCTCTCTCTCCACCCAGGCTGCAGCTCAGGAAGAGCAAAGAAACAGCATTCTAGTTTGTCACCCCAGGTTTTTTTTGGGGGGGGGGCGAGGAGGAGAGAGTCTTCAGATGGAGAACTCACACACCAGGGACAAAGCTAAGCGGCAACTTTCCTCTTGCATCCGCCCCGGCTTCCTAGTTGGATGGACTTTTTAAAGAAAGAATGGATTCAAACACACTGCAAAATTCAAGCACGCAACCAATGCTCCCTCTAAGCTGTGGAGTCTTGTGAGCTTTTAGGAAGACAAATTCAATTTTGTGAGCTGCTGGCATTAAAGTTGTGAGCGGGCGATTTGGCTGCTGCATCAGTTAGGTTGCTCGGGGGCCCTCCTTCCTGAGCTGAGAAAAAAATGGGTGAGCCGTGCACTTCAGAGACATTCCCACACACACACACACCCTTCCCATCAAAGGATGGCCAGGAGAGGGAGGCCGGCGGGGGCTGGGTCCCTTGGGCCACTCACAGACCTGCTCGTGGTGGTCTCCTCAGTGCTGCCCGCTCTCAAAGCCGACCCGTGGTTCGTGGCTGGCCGTTCCCCTCCTGGGCGTGCTGCAGAGGGAGGCCTGGCACTGCAGGCCCGTAGCCAGGGATTTTTAATTTGGGGGGGCCTTTAAATAAGTCGGGGGGCACCCACACCCACACACACCCCTGCACGCACACTCCCCAAGGGAGCGCCTGGGGGGGCCCTTGGCGGTGAGTCAGGGGGCCAGGCCCCAAGGTGCCCCACTGTAGTTACAGGCCCACATGGCAGCGGGTGCCCCTGGGGAGCCCCTCGGCCCCTGCTGGACTGCTGCCCCCAGAAAGGGACCGCGTGCCGATGGCTGCTGTCGCCCCCCCAGAGCCTCCCGTGGTGCGGGTGGGGCGCCGGGTGGCCCACGACGGCCTGGAGCGCCTCGTCTGCCGGGCCTACGGCTTCTACCCCAGGGAGATCGATGCCGTCTGGAAGAAGGACGGGGAGGTCTGGTGGCAGGATGCCTTCCACGGGGGAGTGGTCCCCAACGCGGACGGGACGTACCACACCTGGAT